CTGGATTGGATTTCTTCGTTTTTTTTACAAGGTAAAATACAGGGGTTTATATAGTAAAAGAAAAGTAGGCTATGCAAAGTATAGCTGTGCAAAAAGAATGAGAAAGAACATGAAGGAAGGAATGTACGCTGACAAATCCTGCATAGGTAGTACAGGATAAGATTGTCAAAAAAGGAAAAGAAAGGGATAGAACAATGAATGCTGTGAGTGATGTCACAGGTTTGTACAGCCATAAAGTAAAGTCCAATAGCAAAAAGAGAGCAGGAAAATCATGATGTCATGGGAAGATGCAGTAAAAAAAGGGCAAGGCAAAACACTATCAGTATCAACACAGTTCCTTTATTGTCAGTCAGGCATTCTAAAAAATATGTGTCCATAAAAATGATTCAAAAATCAAAAATAATCGCACTGTAAATGAATGTTCTGCTGAAGAAAAAGAAACTGGAGCCACCGGTCCACCACCTAGTCCAAATCCAACAGTTCCATGGCCTTACCAATAGACTGGTTGTGTTGGACCACCTGATCAAACGAGGGAGGGAGAGGAGTAGTTCCAATTTGGAACAAGTGAGTCCCAGGCAGCGTGTGGTAGGTGTAGCTGTAGCGAAGACGATGGACAAAAGATAAGTGTACCCAAGTGAATGGGACAGCGATGAACATGGGCAACGCAAGGGGATGAACCTTCTCCAGCTCAAAAACTACCCACCCACGCTCCAACCAGGCAAGACGAGCGACCGATGTTTTGATAGTATATGATGGCAGATTGATGTCATGAAGATGGACCTGTTGCCCTATTTGGACCGGCTGCTGGGGCTTTGCTGATATCAGCGATGGCACGTGGTAGTCAATGGATCGGCAACGGAAGCGGATAGGAAGTGGTGACATCAGAAATGGTGGGGGTGCAAATAAGATGAGGAGGAGGAGGGTGGAGGTGACAAAAAAGTGGATTAGAATGGGGATCCAGAAACGACCGTCATGTGAGAATAAAAAGGAGAGGAAGGGGCCCATGGTGGGGCTAGGCAAAGGAAGGGGAGTAAGGGAAATGACAAAAGCGAGGGCGCAATGCAATGTGTAGCCAGTGGCGACACGGATATTTGCCGAAATGCCAAAATGCGGAAAGTACCGAATGGAAAAGCAAAGGTGAGCATGACTGGATTGCCTAATAGAGGTGGTGCTGATCAGCCACAAGTTTGAAAAAGGCAATATTAATTACTATTCCACGTGGCACTGTGCCTGTGTGGCGCAAAGGGGAGTCTTTTTGAATATTTGCTTTGTTATTGACACCTGTCCATGCTACCAATCAACTTTGCTGCATGACACCGTGGGTACTACCCTCATTTGTTTTGGGAGTTCCAGCTCCACTGCATTGGGTTTGAGTTCCTTAATCCGGTAAGGGCCAATCCACTTTTTGGTCAGTTTTCTAGACTGCCAATCTTTCAATTTTAAGTGGTCAGTATCTAACCAGACCAGCTCGCCGACCTTGTAATCAGGGGCCTTGGAGTGTCTATGCTCTGCCCTGTTTTTCATCTGCTCTGCAGTTTTGAATGGTGCCTTGCACATTTCATCTAAGACAGACTTCATATCCTTAGCCATGTTCTCAGCAGCCTTATTTTTGCTTTTGCCAGGTTCTATACCCATTATTGGGATGTACAACCTTGTAACCTCGAATGGTGCTTTTCCTGTAGCTGAAAACTGTTTGATATTGTATGAGAACTGGGCTATTTTTAGCCACTTGGCCCAATCTGTCTACCTGTTATTAATAAATATATAAATATACAGAGGTATTGCTTCAGTTCTTGATTGAGCCTCTCTGTTTGTCCATTGGTCTATGGATGGAACACCGTTGATAATTTAGGTTTCATGCCCAGCATCCGGCATAATTCTTTCGTAAATTTGTTAGCAAATTGTGGCCCTCTATTGGAGATAACCATTTCTGGTAACCCATGGATAGACCATACAAAATCTTTAAATAAGTCTGCCATACCAGCGGCGGTGATAGTTTTGTTGGTGGGAATAAACACTACTTCTTTGGAGAAGCAATCTACTACCACCATCACTGAATCATACCCATAATTCAGGTAGATCCATCGTGAAATCAACCGATATATCCTGCCAGGGACCAGCTGGTATCGGATTTGGCATAAGTTTACCAGCCGGCGGTTGATGAGAATTCTTTGCCATGGCACATCTCAGACAGGATTTTATGTATTCCTGTACGTCTTTTACCATGCCAGGCCACATATAGTTTCTGGAGATCAACTCCATTGTTTGTTGCCACCCCAGGTGCCCAGCCACTAGAGTGTTGTGATGTCTATCTATTGCCTTGATTCTTGTGGACTCAGGCACATAGATTTTGTTTTTAAAATAGAAGAGCTCGTCTTTCCATAAATAATTTTCATTGCCGTCAAGGCATGCCTTCTCTTCTGAGGAGATGTCTTTCTTGAAGACCCCCAGAAGATTGGAATCCCGCCCGGTTCTAACATTGGCAACCCTTGATTGATCTATCAGGGTGACACCTTTGTTGTCATCTTAAATGCTGTTGGCATGATCCTCTCTTCTGGACAAAGTGTCCTCTTTCCCCATAGAATTTCCAGGCTTATGAATTAATTTATAATTAAACCTAGACAAGTACACTGCATAGTGGGCCTGTCTTTGGTACAAGTCTCGGGCTGTCATAAAGTACTCCAGATTCTTATGATCGGTGTCATGCAGCAAAGTTGATTGGTAGCATGGACAGGTGTCAATAACAAAGCAAATATTCAAAAAGACTCCCCTTTGCGCCACACAGGCACAGTGCCACGTGGAATAGTAATTAATATTGCCTTTTTCAAACTTGTGGCTGATCAGCACCACCTCTATTAGGCAATCCAGTCACGCTCACCTTTGCTTTTCCATTCGGTACTTTCCGCATTTTGGCATTTCGGCAAATATCCGTGTCGCCACTGGCTACACATTGCATTGCGCCCTCGCTTTTGTCATTTCCCTTACTCCCCTTCCTTTGCCTAGCCCCACCATGGGCCCCTTCCTCTCCTTTTTATTCTCACATGACGGTCGTTTCTGGATCCCCATTCTAATCCACTTTTTTGTCACCTCCACCCTCCTCCTCCTCATCTTATTTGCACCCCCACCATTTCTGATGTCACCACTTCCTATCCGCTTCCGTTGCCGATCCATTGACTACCACGTGCCATCGCTGATATCAGCAAAGCCCCAGCAGCCGGTCCAAATAGGGCAACAGGTCCATCTTCATGACATCAATCTGCCATCATATACTATCAAAACATCGGTCGCTCGTCTTGCCTGGTTGGAGCGTGGGTGGGTAGTTTTTGAGCTGGAGAAGGTTCATCCCCTTGCGTTGCCCATGTTCATCGCTGTCCCATTCACTTGGGTACACTTATCTTTTGTCCATCGTCTTCGCTACAGCTACACCTACCACACGCTGCCTGGGACTCACTTGTTCCAAATTGGAACTACTCCTCTCCCTCCCTCGTTTGATCAGGTGGTCCAACACAACCAGTCTATTGGTAAGGCCATGGAACTGTTGGATTTGGACTAGGTGGTGGACCGGTGGCTCCAGTTTCTTTTTCTTCAGCAGAACATTCATTTACAGTGCGATTATTTTTGATTTTTGAATCATTTTTATGGACACATATTTTTTAGAATGCCTGACTGACAATAAAGGAACTGTGTTGATACTGATAGTGTTTTGCCTTGCCCTTTTTTTACTGCATCTTCCCATGACATCATGATTTTCCTGCTCTCTTTTTGCTATTGGACTTTACTTTATGGCTGTACAAACCTGTGACATCACTCACAGCATTCATTGTTCTATCCCTTTCTTTTCCTTTTTTGACAATCTTATCCTGTACTACCTATGCAGGATTTGTCAGCGTACATTCCTTCCTTCATGTTCTTTCTCATTCTTTTTGCACAGCTATACTTTGCATAGCCTACTTTTCTTTTACTATATAAACCCCTGTATTTTACCTTGTAAAAAAAACGAAGAAATCCAATCCAGACTTCTTCTCTACTCTCAAGTTCACTACTCACTACTACTTGTGATCCAGTGTGGTCACAACACTTCCCACTTCTACCACTGATAACTGCTGTCATCGTCACTCGTCACTTTTGAAGTCTTTATCATCCCTTTCGATTAGAGTCCTTCTGAGCACTACAGTTTGTGCGTCAGGAGCCTGCTATCACTGGGAACCTCGTCACCTCGTCATCCTCGTCGTTCTCAAACCTACCTTGTGCTATGATTAGCAAGGTAGTGCTCATCTATACTCGTCACTAACCCCCTATCTTCTATAAATTCAACTATCCCTCCTCCTCAAAACCCACACTCATACACCTTTGGGTTTTACTTTGAAGGATCTTTATACGTACCACCCCACAAACAACCAGACCACTCCACTGTTCTAGGAGGCAAAGCCCATAAACAAGTTCTGTGGAATCTGGGAGGATTGTGTGTTAGTTTGTTTTTGTGTGTGGTTTTCTAACAGCAGTTCTCATCATCAACAACGCTGCATGGCCAACTGAATCTTCACCATCTCAAGCTTGATGCGGGCCTCCTCAACACGAGTCTGTGCAAGACTCTGCTCAGATTCATAGTGTTCACGTTGCATTTCCCTTTTATGCTCCCGCTCAACCTCCCGATCACTCAGGACCTTGACCTTGAGGTCGAGCTTCTGGTGTTTGATGACATTTCTGCCTTCAAGGAGCACAAGGAGCTGGCTGTTGGCCTCTTTGAGTGCCTTGGCGTGCACTGATTTACGCCCGCGCTTGCTAGAAGTCTTCTGGGTGGGGGGGGGGGTGAATGCTGACAAGGTAGAGCCAGATGGACCAGGGGGGAAGGATGAGAAGCCGGTGGTGTCAGAATCTGAGCCAGCACTAGACTGGTAAAACGATCGCCATCCCCCCTCCTGTAAAGCAAGGGAGACGGCATACAGGGAGGCTTGAGGTGAATGTGCGGATGAGAAGAATGGGGGGGAGGTGCTGCATCCTCAAGGGGGGCTAAATGTTGGGCTGCAAGCACGACTCACACCCCTGGTTCTGGACACAGACCCAACACTGTGTGGTTCTGAGTCCTCCTCAAGGCTCGGCGTATCAAGCAAGGAGTTGTCCGTTACAGAGGGAGGGGGGATCTGGTTCAGCAGTTGTTGTAGAGTTGTGCTAGCAGGGCTGTGCATATATCCCGGATGCGCCTCCAAGGCAGCATGTAGATGTTGCATAGACTGCAGCACATTCTGGTCAAGAGCAGGCACTATGGGGTCCGTACAAGTAGATGCTGGAGGAGGGTCTGTACGAGGAGGTGGTAGTGAAGGAGGGGTTTTGGCTGGTGAGGGCTGATGAGTCAGGGCCTCAGCTGGCGATGGCTGGCAATTTGGAGAGATATCTCTAGATCGGCCAGATCTAGAGAAAATTTTGGAGGCCTCCTTGCCATGGTCATGACCTGGGGATGATGAGATGGCCAGTATGTTGATGGAGGGTATCTCCCTCCACCAGCCGTGCAGATCCTCCCACCATGGGAGGTTGATTTTAAGTTTTTCTAAAAGAAAAAGCAGTTAAAAAAACTGCAAGATCAAAGAGAAGGGGGAGGAGGAGGGGAGGGACTTACCGATCAGATTCCAGGCATGAGTTCCTGGCTCAATATCATCGTAGCGAAGGCCTGAACCAGTGGAGCCAAGTTCGCAATTAAAGGCCTGATACTTAGTTTTCAAACTGTGTGATAAGATCAAATTAGCCATTCTAAAAAATAGGGGCATTGGGACTTACTTTGAGAGATGGTTATCCACTGCCCGAGCATACTTCTGCGGATTGTCAGCATAATCTTGGCATGTGTCAGCATGTTCATCAACAGAGAATATATGATGTGCAATAATAGTGTGGACATCAGATTTGCTGGAGCTACTCTTGTTAACAACTTTGCGGCGACCACGGGACTTTGCCTCCTTGGTGGAATCTGAAAATAAAGCAGCACAGTGCTCTTTGTGTGTATTCAAGTAGTCAATGAGCCTCTGAGTTCAGGCTGGCTCTTTTTCCCACTGAACCTGAAGCTGCCGAGTGCCTTCTGTCTGCTGGCTCAAATCTGCGGAGGGGGTGAGTGAGGCTCTCTGAGACAAATCGGGAGGTTGATTTTTCTTGCTCTGTGGGGCCATGGATGGGGAGATTGTCAAGAATCAGTGGACGGCAAGCAATGAGTGTTTGATGGGAGGCTGCATAACACACCTCAGCCGCATGTGCCGTGCCTTCAACCTCCAACAAGATGCCGCCCAATGCTGCAGCATCTTTTTCCTTAACGCTCACTTAAGGAGCGCCCTAAGCGAACCTTAAGGAAAGCGCTAGGCGAGGTTTGAGGACCATTATTCTCTTGCCCCCAAGGTCTTGGCCTTCCACGCAGAATCTTTTGTCCCTCTTTTCGCGGCACAGCTTGAGTTGTGACTCCTACTTAGCAGACAATGATGAGAAGGTTATCAACAGAGAAAATGGAGGACATGTACACATGAGCCTGCCTGAACAAACCGTAAGATGAGCATAAATTTCACTGGTATTTGAGTAGTATAAATGTAAAAACAACTGCCCAAAAAAAAATTCCGACTTTACATGCAGAAGTAGTATAGAAGATGTCAGCATATATAGCGCTCAAGACCTAATGGAACTGGAACTGAACATAGTATTGATCACATACCCAATCATTTCTGCACCTGATACTGCAGTTTTAAGTTTTTTGGTGTACACACATCCCATATAGCCTCTTACTTTGTCTCCTCCAAAGGCCTTAAATTACACACCCATTCCAGCAGCTTATTCTGCTGCCGATCCAACCCAGAACCGGAGTGATGCTCGTGATTGCTTGACCATCTAGCATGTGCATCTGGCTGCACATTGGAGTTGACCATAGCAGAGCCTTCCGCATTAGCGACATCCTTGGGGCTGCATAATACCACTTGTACATGTAGATCATCAGAAACAGGCAATGCGTGGCGTATGATGAGCCCATATAGGGGTCGGGGATAGTTGTTGCAAATTGTTATTGCGCTAAAAACAGTACGCCTGAAAGTAGTCCTTGTTAATGTCTGTGGAAATTGCATGCATCCTATCTCTGCTCTGCATGAATAACCGACAGAAACATTGTTGTCCACAGCCAATGGACAGTCAATACAATACCCCAGAGCGTTCTGCCAGGTAGAGACCAGTGAGATATACTACAAAGTGGTATAGAGACTCACGCGTGTCAAAGTGGCACCTGCGACATGTACATCGTTATTTTTATTTTTATTTTTACCAGAATCAAGCACCCTAGTGTTTGTCTCGCCGGGGCCATGCTCCAAGGGAGACGCTGGTGCAGCGGTAGTATCATAAATATTACAATCACAATGTTTCATACAAGTACATACTTCAGATAACAAACTTCAGATAACAAATTCAAAAATCTATTTACAATTTGGGGAGCCACCCCCTTCTTTCCGTTATTGCTCGTGCAACACCCCGGAGCAGGGACCACCTTGTTGTGGTTTACTTCATCTTTCAGAGGAGCAAAGGCACCCAAGTGACCTAAGCTCTGAACTCTTTTCCCTGAGCCTTCATCTCAGCGACCTGTTGGTCATAGAAGAAGGCCCGGATTTTATTGTATGAATGACCGGCCAGAGTGTTGAGCCAATTGTCCGGCTTTTCCGTTTCTAATTGGCGCGCCTGGCACCCTTGGTAATTTTTTTGCTGGGCGGCTTGTGCCCCATTTTTACACTGCCAGGACATGTGTCCTTCTTCGCCACAGTTGTAGCAGTTCCCCGTGAATCTGCACTTCTGTCCTCCTTGGACCGCGTTGGTATCCATAGGGGCTCTCTGCCCTGGTTGCAGCCTGAACGGCTTGAACCCGTGAGAGTGATTTTGATTTTGGTTTGATGACCCAGGGCGCCTCTGGGAATAGTTGTTTTTGGTGGTGGACCCGCCACCTTGGTGCATAGCATAGAGCTCCATGGCTCTACCAACTTGTTGTACCTCCTCAGCCACTAAGGCCAAGTTCTCATTGCACGTATCCTGCAGGTAGATCTGTTCTGCAATGCGGGGGTTCACATTGCGCTCCAGCAGTTCTACTGCGTGTTCATTGCCAAGCCCTCCTTGGATGGAGAGGGCCAGGAACCGGGTTACATAATCATCTGTCCTCATGTTTCCTTGTTTGAAGGAACAGATTTGTTGGTGAGCCCAGTCACGCTCAGCCTGTGGTTTGAAATATTTTTCGATCTCAACCTTGAGATCGTCCCAGATAGGCCATACACCCACCGTGTAGCACTCCTGAAGTCTAACTTGGGCGTATCAACCCGCCACAGGTCCTTTTAGTCAAGATAGTGCCGCAGTTGCTACCTCAAAGTCATCGGCAAACACATCCCAGTTTGCCTTGACCCAAATTTGGAGTTTGATCCACCATTCAGCAAATCGCGCTCTGTCTCCTTCGAAGGTGCCGGGGTCAGCGACGACTTTGACTTTCTTTTTACATTTTTTCTCCACTGTGGGTGCTGCTGCAGGAGGGGCTGCCTGTAGCTCGGCAAGTTGCGTTGTTAACGCCAAGATCTGTGCATGCATGTTGTACAACAGAGCATTGATGTTGGTGGTTTGTGATGACATGTCAACTTGTTCTCTTGTAAGGTAAAAAACGTAACAGGGGGTCCCTGCTTGCTATTTGCGGATCTACCTCTTCCCTGCTGAGTATCGGATCAATCTCCGACTACCCACACTATAGTATTTGAAAAAGTATATCAAAGATAAATGTAGTAAACCCTGGTCCGAATGGTTGTCAGGGGGTGGTCCACTTGTTAAGCTGTCAACCCTTCTCCAGACTGGCGGAGGCAAGTGCCCGGCCTAGTCAGAGGAAAGAGAAAGCGAAGATTTGTATGTAAATTCTAATCAACAGTGGTTCCACACCAACTGCTGAGCTAAGTACTCCCCTTAACACTGGGGGCCGTGTATCTGGTAATTGTCCTTTCTCCCAGAGCACTACGGGGCCGTTGTTAGAAGCACACCCTTCTGCTATATGAGATATTCCTAAACAATAACCCCTTAACCCTGGGGACCAGGTTTGCACAATGTGCGAGAGAGTAGAAAGAGCGAGTCCTAATGTAACAACCAAGAGTTAGTTACTCTGGCGCACAACTCAGACAAACTATAAAGGTAGTGGATGGAGTGGTTACCCTTAGGATAGGACCAAGTTAGTTGTGGGGTAAACAACAGGAGGACTTGCTGAGGAGTCTCCTTGATCTATTGGGGTTTATATACTACTACAGTTTTGTTTGTATATATGTACTATACAGTTGATGGGGGCAGTGGCTGGTGATAGCATAGGCACAGCCCGTGTGATCAGCTCCACTGCATGAGAGCGTTGTAGCTAATAATAAGAAAAGGCAGCGCAGCGCAAGAAGGTGGAGTTTGAACAAAAGGAAAGTGCTGCATGGCACAGTGTGTAACAACCAAGAGTTAGTTACTCTGGCGCACACAAGAACACACTATAAAGGTAGTGATGAGGGAGTGGTTACCCCTTAAGCTGCAGAGAGTTTGTTGGTATACAACAGGAGGACTCGCTGAGGAGTCTCCTGGATTTATTGGGGTATATATACTACTACAGGTTTGTTTGTACATGTGTACTATACAGTTGATGGGGGCTGTGGCTGATGATGTCATAGGGCCTAGCCTGTATGGCCAGCTCCACTGCATGAGAGAGTTGAATCTAAAATAAGAGAAAGGCAACGCGGCGCGGGAAAGGGGAAATGCCGCATGGCACTATGTGTAAAAGCTAAAGTATAGAGTTAAAGTGGAGAATGAAAAGAAGGGAAATGTCCGGAAATGTGTTATCGTAACACTACCCCCCTTCTAAGGCTCGACTTCCAGGCGAGACCAAATGTCGGAGGTAGTGGTAAAAATTTTCGGGCATAGGTTGAAAAAGGGAATTAAAAAGTTTTGAATCCATGCCTCTAAGCTTCCTGGGAGCTGAGGGATTCTTGGAATAAAATTCGCGAACAGCGTTGCGGGAGTTTTCCAGATGGGTTTCTGGTTCCCACGTTTTGTCCTCGTCTCCATAGCCCTTCCATAGGACCAGGAACTCTAATTTACCACGCTTCAAGCGTGCGTCTACCACTTGTTCAACCTCGAACTCTTCTTCACCTTCCTGGGTGACTACAACCGGTCCGGGCCGGTCTACACGCTGTCCTGGCAGCGGTCCTTTGTAGGGTTTCACACGGCTAATATTGACCGTGGGTACTACCCTCATTCGTTTTGGGAGTTCTAGCTCCACCGCATTGGGTTTGACTTCCTTAATCCGGTAAGGACCAATCCACTTTTCGGTCAGTTTTCTGGACTGCCGATCTTTTAATTTGAAATGGTCGGTGTCTAACCAGACCAGGTCGCCAACCTTGTAATCAGGGGCCTTAGAGCGTCTACGCTCTGCCCTGTCTTTCATCTGCTCTGCAGTTCTAAATAGCGCCTTGCGCGTTTCGTCTAAGACAGCCTTCATGTCTTTTACCATGTTCCCAGCAGCCTCGTTTTTGCTTTTGCCAGGTTCTACACCCATTCTGGGGAGGTACGATCTAGTAACCTCAAATGGTGCTTTTCCTGTAGCCGACGACTGTTTGACATTGTATGTGAACTGGGCTATTTTTAGCCACTTGGCCCAATCCGTCTGTCTGTCATTAATAAATATCCGGAGATACTGTTTCAACTCCTGGTTGAGTCTCTCCGTTTGTCCATCAGTTTGCGGATGGAACACTGTTGATAATTTAGGTTTGATGCCCAGCATCCGGCATAGTTCTTTTGTAAATTCGCTAGCGAATTGTGGTCCTCTGTCGGAGATCACCGTCTCTGGTAATCTGTGGATGGACCATACGAAATCTTTAAATAAGTCTGCCGTACCGGCGGCGGTAATGGTTTTATTGGTAGGTATGAAAACCACTTCCTTGGAGAAGCGATCTACTACTACCATTACTGAGTCATACCTGTTTGACTCGGGCAGATCCGTCGTGAAATCAACCAATATATCCTGCCAGGGTCCAGCTGGTATCGGGTTCGGCATAAGTTTACCGGCCGGCGGTTGGTGAGAGTTTTTGGCCATGGCACATCTTAGACAGGATTTTACGTATTCCTGTACGTCTTTGACCATGCCAGGCCACATGTAGTTTCTGGAGATCAACTCCATCGTTTGTTGCCACCCAGGGTGCCCAGCCACTGGAGTGTCATGGTGTCTATCTATTGCCTTGATCCTTGCGGACTCGGGCACATAGATTTTGTTTTTAAAATGAAAGAGCCCGTCTTTCCATAAATAGTTTTCATTGCCGTCAAGGCGCGCCTTCTCCTCTGAGGAGATGTCTTTCTTGAAGATTCCTAGAAGAATGGAATCTTGCCCAATTCTAACATTGGCAACCCTTGATTGATCTATCAAGGTAACACCTTTGTTGTCATCTTCAATACCGTTGGCATGATCTTCTCTTCTGGATAAAGCATCTCCTTTCCCCATTGAGCTTCCAGGCTTATGAATTAATTTGTAAATAAACCTTGATAAGTATACCGCGTAGCGGGCCTGTCTTCGGTTCAAGTCTCGGGCCGTCATAAAGTACTCTAGGTTTTTATGGTCGGTCCAAATTTTGAATTGGTGTCTAGCACCTTCTAAGTAGTGCCGCCAGTGCTCTAGAGCTCTAATGATGGCTAGCATCTCTTTGTCGTAAATTTGATAGTTGCGCTCTGTAGGCGACAAACTATGCGATAAATAGGCACAAGGCCTCCAAAGATCGTCAGGGCATTTGATTGATAGAACAGCCCCAGTAGCGAAATCAGAAGAGTCGGTTTCTAGCCAGAACTCTTTGTCTAACTCTGGAAATGCCAATATGGGCGCTGTTGTAAATGCCTGTTCAAGCTTATCAAAAGCTTCTTGTTCTTTGGCGCCCCAATGCCAAACAATGTCCTTTTTTGTGAGATCGTTCAATGGTCTCGTGATTTTTGCGAAGTTTTCAATAAACCTTCGGTAGAAATTACCTAAGCCAAGGAAGGCCCTAACTCCTTTGACATGAGTAGGTTCTGGCCATTCCAAAATAGCTTGAACTTTCTCAGGGTTCATCCTGATTCCATTCTGGCCTATGATCATACCGAGGAAGTCTACTTCCTTTACTTTAAAATTACATTTTTTGGGTTTGATGAATAGGCCCCGTTCCTGTAAGTGTCGAAGGACTTCTTGCACGATCTTGTCATGCTCAGCTTCATCGTCCGACTTCGTAAATATTAATAAATCGTCAATGTAAATGACAACACAGTTTTCCATATCTGCAAAGATCTCGTTCATCATGCTCTGGAAGGTCGCCGGTGAATTGGTCAACCCAAAGAACATAACAAGGGGTTCCAAAGATCCTCGGTGGCACGTGAACGCGGCTTTCCAAGCATCTTCTTCTTTGATTCGTACATTATTGTACCCCCATCTGAGATCCATCTTTGTTAGGATCTTAGCGCCAGCCAATTTGTCTACTAGCTGACTAATCAAAGGCAGCGGATACGCATTTTTAACTGTGTGCTCATTCACGTAACGATAGTCCATAATCATGCGCTTCTTACCATCCTTTTTAGGAATGAAGAACACCGGGGACGTCATAGGACTTTTGGAAGGTCTGATGTAACCCTTCCTAAGTTGTTCGTCTATGAAACTAGATACCTCATCTCTTTCTGGAGCAGAGAGCGGTATCATATGTCCTTTCCTTGGTTTGAAAGTGTCCTTCAAATCTATAGCATGGTCCCAAGGCTTAGCCTCTGGGAAGCGCTCTGATTTGTGTTTAGAAAAGACTTTCCAGAAGTCATGGTACTCGGGAGGCACCAGCCTCTTAATCTCTTCCTCAGGTTTTACCTCATCATCGTCATCGTCGATCTTTTCTAAAGATCTGAGCTCGTAAATGTGACTAGCGTTTAACTTTTCAAGACGCTCATTGTGACGGACATGATTTGGTTTACCCAGGTTTACACATTCCTGAGGGCAACGTGACAATGTGACAACCCCTGTCTGCCAGTTGATCTCAGGATTATGTTTAAATAGCCAGGTCCAGCCTAATATTAAATTAATCTTCCCTAGTTGGGTAGCTTCGGCAGTGACTCGTCTCTGTGTCCTTGGTATTCAACCACAAAAGACATTGTGCGTGATACAGCCACCCGCGTTAAGCGTACCGTCAACGT